AGTTGATAACAAGGCTCATCAGGGATTATTGTTAATTGCACTGAGGAGTTGATTCTCATTAGGAAAACACAGGTGGGATCGACTGCTAAGTGAACAGGTTGAATGCAAGCGCTGCATTTTCCATATACTAAGACCCAACACGATGCATTATCCAAAGCTTAATTATCTTTAATCATAATGAGTTGTATTTGCATGACTTGTTTGATGTCATGTATTTCTACTGAGAACTATAAAATCAAGTTAGTTTTGACTGTTTTTATCTAATAAACATGTGTAAGGCAGCTAATTTGATCTGAGTTATTTTCTTTATCTTTAGATAATCTTGTATATATAGTGCGTTAGATTGAATATACGTTTTCTAAATCAACAGATATGTACAAATATGCAACTGAATTTTGATATTTTTACCCTTCAAATGAAGTTTAATCGGAAATGTATCAATCAAACATTTACTTGTGAGTACCAAATTCCTTTTTTTCCCCATCTGGTTGATTGGGGAATTTTTGATGCATGAGAAATTACTACATTATCCTCATTCATTCCATCTGAAGAGGTTTATTTACTTTCAAAAGTGTTAGTTTGCAGATTTTATGTAACAGTATGACTTTGATCTGTAGCTATCTGACCTGCTGGCAACAACTCAAGATGCCTTCATTTAGAAACAAGATAATCGATTGGTGCATAATATTGATTTAACCGAAATCCTAATTCCATTTTACCTTTCTAATTTTTCAATGTCCATCATTTCTGAAAATTAGTCCTGAGCATCATATGAAAAACAGGATAGACATATTCAAGAGCAATGTAATGTCTGTATTTAAGTGTACAAGTCTGTGTGCAGTCAAAACAGAGATATACAGATGCCTTTAAAGCTCACCTCCTCCATTCTTGTAGCAGAGGTATGGGAACCGCCACACGTTGCCCAAGCCAACAGCGAATCCAACGCAGGACATGATGAAGTCCATCTGCCTGGTCCAGGTTTCTCGCTCCCCATCCCGTCCAGCCACTGCCCCGTTTCCAGTCCCTGCTGCAGCCCCATCCTGGGTCTGTGGTGGACCAGCCCCTCCACCCTCTCCACACCCTGGGTCGGCACCAAGCACTGGCACCAGTGGGCGAGCTGACCCCCCGCCCTCCTCCTCGGACAGGGCCCCTGCCTCCATCTGGGAGACATTGATTTCATCTGAACACAGAAAAGAGGTCAGATGACACAGGAGAGATGGGATGAGGCGAAACCATGAATGAATTTGAAATGGATCTGTATGAGAACCACGTCTAAATAAAACAGCAAACTGTGGCACATCCTACGTCATCACTGATGAAGCACAGTCTCTCCAGCCAGACATACAATGAATGAAAACTAAATAAGTTTGCTTCCCATTCATTGCAAAATGACTCATGATCAGAAAACAGTCAAATCCCATCTCATTAGACACATCCTCTGTCTTGCTATTTTATATTTTTTTGTCACCCGCAGTGTGTTGGAGTTCACTGTGATCACTGATCCATCCCCCTATGTTCATTCTCTGTCGGCGCCTCTCTTGATTTGTGTGCTGCAGCACACACAAACCAAGCACAGGCACATCACTGCAGCTCCTGTCGTGCTCATAAAGCTTTTTTCTTCTGTTTTACATAACCAAATAAATAAGGGTTAGGCCTCATTTTGTGGCATTCCATGATATTAAGTGTCAGGCGCGTTGATGCAAAGCGGGGTGGATGAATCCAGATCAGAGCAGTTTGAGGGTGTGTGAATATAGATGAGGAGGGGGGAATAGATGGGGAGAAATGATTTAAGCATCAACATGGAAAGAAGATGCCTCTGCTTTTGAGATATTGTGTTTGTTTATCAAAACAGGTTCATAGGCAAATACAGATAATGAGAAACAATGGTTTATAAAGAGATTAGACTTATCTTATTTTAAGAATGCTAAAGCATAAAGGCAGGATAAGCCTTACCAAGCTGAGGGATGAAGCACTGGGGATTTTCTTTGGGAAATAAATGTTTTTTTTTTTCTTCCAGATAGCAAGTGATTAAATATGCCTGCAGGCTGGATATGCCACATCTATTTTTATATTTCATGATGCATTAAGCAATCAAGGCGGAAACTAGTGGAGGACATCTGTGATGTTTGGCTGTTTCATACCAGGTAAACAGTGTAGAAGTTAATCAGATGATTTAAATAATACATATATATTATGGCTGTATGGTTGTTGAATGTTAAATCAGCTGTAAAATGTAAAATAAACAAATAAAATGTTTATAAAAGACTTACCTTGGCTGTTCTCTTCCACCTCTGGTGACATATTAAGGGAAAGGTATAAGCTGCTTGGTGGTATCGTCTTTAAATTTGAAAAATATTTGTTTGTTTTGTATTTTTTTGTGTGTTTTTTCTTTATATGTACCCGACTGGCTCAGAGGGGGAGACAGAGAGATGTAGCCACCATAAAGGCTACACTGCCTCAATTGTTCTTGTTGTTTTCTGAGTTTATTTCTTCTTTCTGAAATAATACAAAAATTCAGTTTTTTTTCTATATCACACGTTGGAACCCCTCAGCTCAGCCGAAAGAGATGGAAAAATGTCACAAAGCGCCGCGGTCAGTTGAGCCGTTGACAAGGAGGAGATTCAAAAGCAGTCGACGAAGCACTTAAAGGTAAGCCTGAAGAATCTCATGGATGAACCCTTAATGAAAAATGATACTAAGCCTTTGGGTGAATAATTTGTATGATTGTTTTGGATTCAGCAGCTCGGTCAGAAGTCCATGGTCCCTGGTCTGCGAGGTGCCGCGGTTCGACGGCTCGGAGAATGTGATCTGCTCGGCTCGACAGTCCGTTAGCTGTGAGCGACTCTCTACCCCCGCCTCCTCGCGCTGCCGGTGGGTCGACGTGATTGGCTGAGGGGAGTTCCCGGTGAGGAGCGCGCGCAGCATCAGCAACAGCGCTCTGTCAGGACGCGTCACGACAAGGATGCGTTCTATACGTCCTTGACCTGATATCACTGGGAAATGTTTCTATATATCGCAGGCGGATGCGGGTATTTCAGGTTCAGAATTAGTTCTAAACATATGAATGTGCATCTCCACACCATAACCGGGGACTATTGTTTAACACAGTGATATCAGACCACTCAAGTCCTCTATGGCTTGAACTTTTAAACGCATCTATGCTTTTGCATGATTGTGAGATAATTTAGCTATTTAATTTAGATGTGTAGGGAAGAAGAAAAACAGGATGACAGAAAACTAGGCAGGGGTTTTTACTTTTTTGAAGCCTCTAATCACAAGGTTCAAGAAAATGTGTAAAGATGAGCTAAAAAAGGTAAAGGCCATTTACAATAAATTACCTAAGCGATAATAGACTGTATAAAAAAACATTACTAACTAAAATAAATAAATAAAAATTGGCTACATTAAAATAATTGATTAAAAAAACGTATTAGTTCATGACCTTGAGTTATGCAGCAGGACCATTGCAGCGAGTCCATCTTTGAATGAAAACAAAAAAGAAAAACAATCAATAGTCAAAAGTATCTAAAGCAGATGAATCCATGCAATGCTTCAAAGAAGAAAATGACAGTAAAAGCCAATTTCCAGTTATCCTAAATACTTAATTTTAACTCTAACTCTAGGAGGAAATCAATTTTCCAACTGGTTATTTTCAGCAGGCTGATCGGATTCCAAATTCTACTGGAAAATTAAATCTATATATTCATAAAGCTGGTCAGCAGACAGACCTCATGGCTCCATAACAACATGGATCCTCTACCACTACAATCTTCTTTCCTACTTTGTGACCCTGGTTTCTTAAACTAATGTATAATTTGCTATATTCACAAACTGAAAAGATGATGGACTTTAGTCCTTTCACTCTTTTCCACTCTAAAGTGGGCTTAATTCAAGGAATGCAACAGTCAGAGTCCATGCATTGACTTCAGTTGCAGCCACGCCTTTTGAATATTTCACAATGAAACATTTTCTTACAGCCCCTGCAAGGTTGCAGTTAACCTGAACCTTTGCTCTCAGTTTTCCTTCCTTAACTTCCTAATAATATACTAGCATACAGCATCATGCAACCTTTTAAAGTAATTTAATGTCACTGTAAAGTCAGCAGTTTTGCCTTGGAATAATATGGGCATTACCTAACATTTTTATGTAAACCTCCTGAACAACATTGTTGAAAATGCCATTAAAAATTCAAAACAATCAAACTTTACAGACATAAAAAATTTATATATTTCTAACAACTTCCTATGTAAGTTTTACTTTTTTACTGAAATATAGAAAAATAAATAACTATTTAAATTACCTTCTATATCTTAGAGGTTGTCTGTCTGTTATATGGTATACAAACATTCAAACATTGAAAACACAGTATTAGTCACCAGATAATTGTTTAAAATTTTTGGGGTACTTAAAGGTAGAGATAGAAAACAATCTTGACATTCTTTTTAGAAACCCACGGAAATATAAAATGTGAAATGGCATGTTTTTTTCTGTAAGTGTTAAAAAAACAAAGATCAACATATTAAGACAGTGAAATCCCTATTCTACTAGTTAATCGAGTTTGTGATACTCATACGAACAGACTGCATAGCAGTGCTGGTAAACTAAAGTGATCGTTAGGGTCACAGGAATTCCAATGCTAGTTAAATCAGACAACTATTCACCTATATTTTACCACATAATACTATAAATTCAGACACCATCCAATTCTAAATTTAATTTTTGTGAACAAAAATGACATTAACAGATTAATGGTAAATTTTAATGTAAGACTCATTCCTGTTTCTTTAGAGATTTGAAAACACTGAAATAATACTGCATTAAGTATTGCCAAATATATGTAGCCACAGATACATGTAGTCTCTTTAAATTGTATCATAGTTGTCGTCAATGTCTGAATTAGATTTTTAAGTTTGATGCATCGGATTGGAAGCACTTGATGCCACCTAGTGGCCAAAAGGTGCTTTGGCATCTTCAGTAAAGAATCAAACAACCAAACTCTGTTCATAAAACATAGCTTTATAGATTTAATGTCTTAACACACACAAGTACATTGTTCACACTTACAGATTTAGTGCAATGTCAACCATTAATAAATACACGTCTTTAACTTAAATGACCAAATGATGGTAATAAATAAATAAATAGACACAGACAATAAATACATTTGTGTTGTGCAGATATTAACGCGCAGTAAAACAGACCAAAGATCTAGATTTGACTTTTACCTGAAGGACTGGCTTTGCATTATGCTATCCAGCCCAGTATAGTCCTGACTGTTGGATTTTAAACAAAGCTTTATTAAATAACACTTTGCGACCAATATCAATAACTCTGGACATGAAGATGAAAAAATGAGCTGACACATTATATCTGAGAAGCATTTTCCATCAGGAATACATTCACAGACGACAATTATCACATGACCACAAGAAAATGGCTTCAATTTCATATCAATAAATTAAAATGACCTGAATCAGGGGCAGAGGCCTCATCTACTCAGACAGAGTGCAATTAAGCTGGCCATTATCAGACAGCCTGTTTTGGATATCTCTTCTCTGTGTTTATAAATACCAATCCCTCTAAATCTATCATTTATTATTAAGGTGCTGTTTAGTTGTTAAAACATTTAATCTCTTACATTTTTCACAAAACTTTTTTTTTTTTTAAACAAATCATAAATTATAGTGGATCTGTCCTGTTAACATTGAACTGGAGATTTCATAAAGAAATATGTGACGCTATTATGTGCAACTTTCATACAGACTTAGACCAGTTCAAAAGTCCTGAACCTCCCTTTATCACTTGATGTTCCTGACCTGCTTGAGTTAATTTTAGGTGGTCTTGAGCAACAGCTTCCAGGCTTTCTTTTAAGGATCTTAACATGTTTTTGACACTGGAAGATTTAAATAAATTAAATTTAAATTCCCTGTACTAAAAATGATTTTAATTACAATTTTTGAGTTTGTTGGTCTGTCCAACATTAGCCTATGAATCATTAAATGTTTAATAAAGGCATCTAAAGTTATTGTTAGGCCTACACAAAGCAAAATGATTCAGGATCAATAATTGTATTGTTAGCTGTGAAACGTTGAAAAAAAAAATGCCAAGAAGCAAATCATAGCACCACTTAACATAATCTGCTCTGATTTTTAAACAGATGGAGAAATAATAAACAAATAAGGACTTTGTTAATTGCATCTGCTAATCTCATCTTCAGTAAACAAAGAAACCTATGCTAACAGCTCTTTGGGACTTACTTCTTACTGCAGAAATGCTGTTATGTCTGTGAGACATAACTTTGGCACTTTGAGCAACAACAATATGCATTTAAACATTTTCAGAGGAGCCCATTAAGTCCTTCAGAAACCCTGAGAAACTTTGCTCAAAGACAGCCGTATACCAACCAATCCGACTTAATGAAAGAGGTATCTATGATCTAATGTTAGGGGTTCATGATGTTTGCAAAGTGCTCCATATTACCTGACGGTGTGTAAATGTTAGTCAGACCTAACTAGAAGGATTGGTGCATTTTAAAGCAGATATAAATTATTAGGTAAATGAATGCCTTGGCTATAGATCCAGGTGGAGGTCGCCGTGTGAGAGAGATGGGTAATGGTCATCCACGACAGACTTAGCTTGATGTCTTTGAGCAACTAGTCTCTGGTAGCGAGCCTGCTGCTGGTAATTGGGGTCAACGTTGACCCAGCTGGTGGCCACCCACTTTACTCCTCGGTTGACAGGACAATCACCATGCAAGGAGTACTCGTCTAGCTCGCCCATCCAACCTGGGAAATAGTGACAGAGAAACATTAAAGCCTGGTGAGAATGGAGAGTGGTGGGCCCACCACAGTGGAGGGGAAATGATTAATTAATACAGATATACAGGAACAAAGGTCTATCATAAAAGCCTAAGTTTAAATAAATAATTCAGAACTTTAAAGTATAATTAAGTATTTTGTTGCTGAATTCACAACCTATCAGTTATGAAACAGTCCTGCAGCACTACAGTTGTTGTGGCACATGAAGTCGAGTTTAACGGGAAATTGAGAAACTGCATGTACAGTGAGTCCAAGAAGTATTTGATCCCTTGCTGATTTTCTTTGTTTGCTCACTAATAAAGATGTGATCATTCTGCACGTTTAATGGTAGATGTATTCTAACATGGAGAGACAGAATATCAAAAAGAACATCCTGAAAAAAAAACCTAAGGAATATATATTAATTAATTTGTATTTCATTGAGGGAAATAAGTACTTGATCCCTCAGTATGCATTAGGAGTTCTGCCTTTCACAGAGCAGTTAGACACTCCCAATCAGCTTGTTATCTGAACTGAAGCCACCTGTTCTCACTACTCACTTGTGTGAAAAACACCTGTTCACAGAATCAGACAATCTGACAGATTTCAAGTCTCCAACATGGGTAAGACTAAAGAGCTGTCTCATGACCTCAGAGTCAGGATTGTTGACCTCCACAAAGCTGGAATGGGCTACAAAAAGATTAGCAAGGTGTTGGATGTGAAAGTAACAACTATCGGTGCAATTGTTAGAAAATTTAAAGAGTATAACATGACCATAAACAGACCTTGGCCTGGTGCTCCAAAGAAGATTTCACCTCTTGGGGTGACAATGCTCCTGAGAACGGTCAGAAATAAACCTGCAACCACTCATCAGGAGTTGGTAAATGACCTGAAGGCAGCTGGGACCACAGGGTGCAAGGAAACAATTGGCAACACTTTGCACAACAATGGACTAACATCCTGCAGTGCCCGAAAGGTACCCCTGCTCAAGAAGGCACATGTGGAGGCGCGCCTTAAGTATGCCAATGATCACCTGAAAGATGAACCAAGTTATTGGCAGAAGGTTCTGTGGTCAGACGAGACCAAAATTGAACTTTTTGGCCTCAACTCTACCCGCCATGTGTGGAGGAAGAAAAATGCTGCCTATGACCCCAAGAACACTGTGCCCACCGTCAAGCATGGAGGTGGAGGCATAATGTTTTGGGGCTCTTTCTCTGCCAAGGGTACAGGGCTACTTCACCGCATCACTGGGAAGATGGATGGAGCCATGTACCGTACAATCCTGAGGGACAACCTCCTCCCCTCTGCCAGGAAGCTGAAAATGGGACGTGGGTGGGTCTTCCAACATGATAACGACCCGAAACACACAGCAAAGGCAACAAAGGACTGGCTCAAGAAACATCACATGAAGGTCATGGAGTGGCCCAGCCAGTCTCCGGACCTCAATCCGATTGAGAATCTATGGAGGGAGCTGAAGGTCAGAGTTGCCAAGTGACAGCCCACCAACCTTCCTGATTTAGAGAGGATCTGCAAAGAATAGTGGGCCAAAATTCCCCCTGTGCTAAACTTGTGGTTAACTACAACAAATGTCTCACTGCTGTACTTGCTAACAAAGGCTTTGCCACTAAGTATTTACTGTGTTTGGCTAGAGGGATCAAATACTTATTTCCCTCAATGAAATACAAATTAATTAATATATATTCTTTAAAGTTATATTCTGGATTTTCTTTTTGATATTCTGTCTCTCCATGTTAGAATACATCTACCATTAAACGTGCAGAATGATCACATCTTTATTAGTGGGCAAACGAAGAAAATCAGCAAGGGATCTAATACTTCTTGGACTCACTGTACTTTAATACAGGTGCTGGTCATAAAATTAGAATATCATGAAAAAGTAGATTGATTTCAGTAATTCCATTTAAAAAGTGAAACTTGTATATTATATTCATACATTACATACAAACTCATATATTTCAGATGTTTATTTTGTTTAATTTTGATGATTACAAATGACAACAAATGAAAATCTCAAATTCATCATATCAGAAAATTAGAATATTACTGAAGACCAATAAAAACAAAGGATTTATAGAAATGTTGGCCAACTGAAAAGTATGAACATGAAAAGTATGAGCATGTACAGCACTCAGTATTTAGTTGGGCCTCCTTTGGCCTGTATTACTGCAGCAATGCGGCATGGCATGGAGTCGATCAGTCTGTGGCACTGCTCAGGTGTTATGATAGCCCAGGTTGCTCTAATAGTGGCTTTTAGCTCTTCTGAATTGTTGGGTCTGGTGTATTGCATCTTCTTCTTCACAATACCCCATAGATTTTCTATGGGGTTAAGGTCAGGAGAGTTTGCTGGCCAATTAAGAACAGGGATACCATGGTCCTTCAACCAGGTACTGGTAGCTTTGGCACTGTGTGCAGGTGCCAAGTCCTGTTGGAAAATGAAATCTGCATCTCCAAAAAGTTGGTCAGCTGCAGGAAGCATGAAGTGCTCTAAAACTTCCTGGTATGTGGCTGCGTTGACCCTGGACCTCAGAAAACACAATGGACCAACACCAGCAGATGACATGGCACCCCAAACCATCACTGACTGTGGAAACTTTACACTGGACTTCAAGCAACGTGGATGAAGTGCCTCTCTTCTTTTCCTCCAGACTCTGGGACCTTGATTTCCAAAGGAAATGCAAAATTTACTTTCATCAGAGAACATGACATTGGACCACTCACCAGCAGTCCAGTCCTGTTTCTCTTTAGCCCAGGCAAGACGCTTCTGACGCTGTCTGTGGTTCAAGAGTGGCTTGACACAAGGAATGCGACAGCAGAAACCCATGTCTTTCATACGTCTGTGTGTGGTGGTTCTTGAAGCACTCACTCCAGCTGCAGTCCACTCTTTGTGAATCTCCCCCACATTTTTGAAGGGGTTTTGTTTCACAATCCTCTCCAGGGTGCGGTTATCTCTCTTGCTTGAACACTTTTTTCGACCACATCTTTTCCTTCCCTTCGCCTCTCTATTAATGTGCTTGGACACTGAGCTCTGTGAACAGCCAGCCTCTTTAGCGATGACCTTTTGTGTCTTGCCCTCCTTGTGCAAGGTGTCGATGGTCGTCTTTTGGACAACTGTCAAGTCAGCAGTCTTCCCCATGATTGTGTAGCCTATAGAACTAGACTGAAAGACCATTTAAAGGCTTTTGCAGGTGGTTTGAGTTAATTAGCTGATTAGAGTGTGGCACCAGGGGCCATCAATTTTGAACCTTTTCACAATATTCTAATTTTCTGATATGATGAATTTGAGATTTTCATTTGTTGTCATTTGTAATCATCAAAATTAAACAAAATAAACATCTGAAATATATGAGTTTGTATGTAATGTATGAATATAATATACAAGTTTCACTTTTTAAATGGAATTACTGAAATTAATCTACTTTTTCATGATATTCTAATTTTATGACCAGCACCTGTATCTTCTGATGATAGCGACATGGACATAGGAGAGTTTTGGCAGCAGAGGAGCAAGAAATTCAGGTTGCTAAGTCGCCCTTTAGTTTGGGGGAGGGTTTTTGACAGGTCATTGAAATAGCAAGCAAATCTTTGACAAACCCAATATTTTTGGTAATTATTTCATAAAACATATAACCATTATGAAAAACCTTAGCGATTGAGAGGTTGTACTTCATATTATAGTTCTGGTGTTGTTTTACAGTATAAAATTACCTAGACTATTTAATAGGTAACTCAATTTGGTTTTGTGAACACATAAAAAAGAGGGTATTGCATATATGTTTTTTTCTTAACAGTTGAAGGATTTCAGTCATTTCATGGTAAAAAAAAACAGGTATGAAGTCTGGGGCATATTCAGGACAGTTAATTTAAACTTTTAACTTTAAACAATAACCTTTACGCACTTAAGGAATAAAAATAAAAACATATTTTTATATTTGAATGTACCTCGACTGAGGGATACATTTGGGTAACATCACATTCATTTAAACCAGCGTTTCCCAATCAGTGGTCCGCAAATGCATTGCAAGGGGTGCATGAAAATATTTTCTTTCTTAAAATCAAATAGGGTTGGAATCTGTTTTGCTTTGTGAGAACCCAATTGAAAAATTAAATAAGCTTTTATCAACCAAAAAGTACGTTTTTGTAAAGAACAGCCTGGTATCAGATGCTTACGACAGAGAGCTATCTGAACTCATCAAAGCAGCATAGGTGTCTTGATGAAAACAAAGTTAAACTAAATAAGTCAGTCTGCTAATAATTGGTGTTCTGTATTTTGTTACCAATTCATCAAGTTTAAATGTGGTTATAAGGGAGTTACTCAGAGAAGTATATATATATTTATAAAAACAAATTTATAGTATGATTTTATTTTGCATTTATTCCGATTCCTTACTGAATTCCAGGCAACATATTTATTTCTTTATTTATACTTGAGATGAAAAACATAAAATTAGAAAAAAATCCAATGCTCAAATTAGAAAAAGTAAAATAGTCTTAATTCAGTTATTGTTAGTTACTCTTTTGGACAACCATAAGTACTTCTGACTGATGGGTATGCCCAAAGGGGTACAAAAAAGGTTGGGAAACTCTGATTTTAACAACAGAAAGACTAGATTCACCAAGCTCATGTATCATAACATGCCCGTTTTTCTTTTTTGTTTTTTTTACCTCTGCCATCAGAGAGATGATTGTACCATAGGAGAGCTGTTCCGGGGGTTGGATTTATTCTAAGATTTCCTTTGCCACAAGCCTGTTGGGTGTCTGTCAATTCAACTCCATCCTGGACCAAAGCCTAAAATACACAAAAACAAGTAATGACCTATTAAGATGCTTAATTTCTGAAAACAATGTGTTCAGTCCTTTCAAAAAGAAGGTTGGAAGAAACAAATACAGAATATCTGAATACCACAAATAAAAAAATGCTTATTTGTTCTTTTTTATTTGTGGACAATTTTCTAAATTATCAAATTATTTACTTCTTTATTCTTTAGAACTAGCTTCTAGTCTGATAAAGAACAATTTTCTTTTGTTTATTTACTTTCTCTTTCAATAATGTCACAATGAAATTTAATAGAATTAGGATCACATCATCAGAACTTCAAAACATCAACAAACTTGCAGGCTTTTTAAAATAAAAAAAGCGAATAAACAAAAGATATGTTTGAATAATCTATGTTGTTGATTTGTGTTTTAATTGAAAAGAACAAAATTCCCTGTTCTTGTAAACTATTTACAGCCTTAACTTAACCATGAAGATAAAAAGATAACACCTTACTGCCTTATTTATGTGCATATATTACGGTTTAACATAGTGAATGTGACAGAAAATTGTAGTTATGTGAATCAATTTACTTGTAATGGGTCAATATATAACTGCTTAAAAGAAGCAGTAGGATTCTATGTAGCTATCATCAAGTAGATCAAGCAGGTTTATGCTAATAGATGCACATAAACCAACACTACCTGCTCATCGTAAGTACGATTATCTGCCACAGGGAAGACACTTTCCCCACCACTCTCCACAGAGTTGAGGTAAAATAAAACTGTCAAATATCTGGAAAAAAAGCAACAAAAGGAGCATTATTGTTTAATAGTTCAGATTTTATAACATATAGAACAAACCTATCTAATAGATGACACACATCTTGAGTTTGAATCTGACAAGCAAAGAGGATGTGAAAAGAAGATTGCTTTTATTAAGTTGCATACCTGCAGGAGACCTCTGTGAGCGCTGAGGTGTTTCCTGCCAGCCGTGTGTGCGCACAGGTGGTCTGTGAGTGAGACGAGCTGCTATCATAGTGAGCGTCGGTGAAGTCTTGATGCTCGTAGCGAGATACCTGCAGCGGTTCACTTAGCTCAACCAGTGCAGAGGGCAGACGTGTCAGAGAGATTACCCTGAGAGCATGAGGAGGGAAAACAAGAGAATAATTTTCCATTTTAATAACAGCTGTTTTTGTGGGGAAAAGAGCGAGACAAATAGGCAGTGACCTTTTCCTGAGTGACTGCACAACGTGGTGAGATCCTGGTCCCTGGAAAAGCCATGTTTGCCTGTTTCTTTGCTTAAAGTGTCTATGCAGGCTCCCACTGCGCGGTTGTCGTGGGTGCTGGGACCCATCATAGACACGGCGGAACTCTCCGAGCGTCAGAATCCCTGCAAGCCACATTCAAAAGTGAAGATAATTAAACAAGCCTTTTACTATGTAGTGTTGGAAGTCCAGCTCAGTAGAATGCATTCCTGAATTTCTGTTTTCTGGTTCTTCATTGTTATTCTAATTTTCTGAGTTAAACCATGTGCAGATTCTTCCAGCTAAACTTATCATGAGTTCCCCCAGGACACACATGTCCCAGTCCCAACAATAGCCCTGGGGTGCCAGAGAGGAGGTGACTAGAGGACACGGGAGTTGGGGAATACACGGTATCCGGGGGAAAATTAAGTGAAAGGGCTGGCAGACAATCAGGTTTTAATGAGATAGGACAAGGCCCTTCCGGATGTGGAGAACGCCTGGCACAATGGTATCAGGTCAAAACGGTGTCACCCCTCTTCCTGCCTTAATATTCACCAACACTCGCACGCAACTACAGCTACAAGTCATTTACAGTAGCCTTACACATACACACTCATTTGAAGAATCCTGAAAAGTTTGTCCAAATTCATGGTATTCTAGAATACAATGGAATGAAAATAAGCTTAGGTTCTGAAAGGGAACCCAAGTATTGGGTTTAGAGGAATAGTGTATAATTTTAACACCAAAATGGGAGGGTTCCCCCCCTGGGATAAAGACCAAGGTGAAAAGGTACATAGATCTTTGAATATTTCTCTCTCATTGTTCTCATTTCTATCTATTTAAATATGATGTAAATGTTTCCTTTTATTGTCAAAAAAATCATTTTTGTATGTTTCCTTTGAATATGTCAACATTTTAGTTATTATATTCATTCAATTTAGGTCTGGATTGCCATGGCAATAAAAGGCAATTATGTAGGTTCTCTGAGTATTTTTATATCAAAACACTGTGAATTTAAATCTACTTTGACCCCTGAGCAGCAGTAACCGAGGGTTAAATTGAAGAAATAAAGCCAAAAATTGCCAAAGTAGAAAGAAGAATTGTTTTGTTCTTCGCTTTTTTGGAGTAATGGAGATTTTATTGATCTGTGTATAATGCATAATTCATAGTAGATCAGGATGTGATTACCGTTGAATGGAAACCTTGCATGTCTAAAACCATTCCTTTGTTGTACATTCTGTTAGCTTGTCTGTGTGATATATTAAAAAATATGATGTGTTGAACTAGATCTGCTATTTTCACAGCTTGTGAGAGACATTTTGTTTATAAAGAAGCAGGGTATTATTTCATAAAAACATTTATTTGAAATCTATAAACCAAGTTTTCTGGCAAACAGCAATGATGAACTGCAGTGCTATACCCAGCTATTGTAGTATCTAGGCAGGAGCTGTCAGTCTGGTAAAGAATTTGTTTTTAAACAGACTAAAACTAGACTAAAAGATCATAATAACTAAAATGCGACTAAGACAAATAATAGATTTCATCCTGAAGAATAAGACTAAGACTAAATCTAAGATGGCTCTCAAAAACAAAACTGATGTAAAACTTCAAGTCAGGCTTAGAAAATAAAATTTGCAAAAATTCCAGTTTCAGAAAGTGATTGGAAATTAAAGACCTTTTTTGTTTTTTTTTTAAATGCACCGATTTTCTTTTATGGAACTTATGCAAACATGCAAATTATTATTCCATATATTTTCAAAGCAAACAGAATTCCTGCTTATCCATCAATCAAACACTAAGGGCCCTTCCGAATATACACAGATATATGTATTACAGAAAGACAGACCTGTTGGAGAGGCTTCCAGACCAGAGAGTATTTGCCGTAAGCTAGCTGGGCTTAACCACGTCCCATCTCGAGAACGGGAATGACTCACAATCTAGATGGAAAACAAAATATCTTATTTTATCACCAAGGCAAATTTAGAATTACAATTTATTCATCTATTTTTGGAAATGTGTATTCTTCCTTCATCAGGGTTAGTTGTGTGTGCTATTATCCTGCGGATACCTCTTGCTTCTGAAGAAAGCCGTCTTGGTTCAGGTCCAGCAGACTGAAGACCTCTTCTGTGCTTAGAGAAAGCAGAGGCTGGTTTAGCTCTGCTTGCTCTTGGCTAGGTGTTGCTGTCTGGCTATCCATCAGACCTTTGAGCTGGGCCAGCTGTACCACCACACGTGATTCTTCCTCTGACAGAAAACCAGGAATCTCTGTCATGAACGGGGAGAAATGTTTTAATTTCACATTTGCAGTCATATAACGACACAATTTTCTATGTAGTTATGTAAAGTTGGAAGATTTTCGTATTTATTTGTATGTATTTCTTTATGTCAATCAGGTTTCCATATCTGAAGACAGAACCCTCTGCAAATTCTTAAAATAGCTGACAATCAGATTACATGGAAAGAAACTGGCCACATCACTTTTCAGGTCTTGTAACATTCTGAGATCTGGATTTTCACTTTGCCGTTCACATAAATCGGCTTTGTTTAGGCTGTGTGTATGTATGCTGTGTATTTAGCTTCATCCACCAACCTAAAACAAGCTCACAACAATCTACCATCATATTGACTTTACACTGCAGCTGTTTGAGCTGCAGTGTGTTCTGCATAAAGGCCTTTTTAATTTTGGTTAGATCAGATCAAAAAGTTCTTTCCTAATCTTTATTACATCCCTGAAGAGGTTGTGTGAAACTGCAATCAAACATTAGATGGCCTTTCTCATATCAGATGCTGATATTACTGTAATCACTGAAAAAATGCTCAATGACATGTTCAAAGCTCACTAAATAACTTTATAACTTAACCCCACAAAACATTTATCCCTCACCCGCTGGTCAGAGTCAGTGAGGCACACATAGTTTCTAGCCTTTTTAAAGTCACCTTAACTCAAACATAGATGGCTTCTCTAAAGATAAAAGTGAAAATAAAAGCCAGAGGGCTGGAGTTTAGGCTTTACTAATCCTGTGGAATGTGCCTGAATAGACGGTGTTATAGGATTTGCTGCTGACCCCGATGTCTCACACCTTACTTACACTTAACTCTTAAGGAACAATAAAAAACATTGACATACAGACATCCACACATGGAACAAAAATGTTGGCAACCAATTGTTTAGTGAAAGAAAAACCCACAATGAACACAGAAATAAAATAAATCTGACAAAAGTAATGAAAAACAGAAAAATCAATGAAAATGAACAAATGAAAGTCAGCCATTGCTTTTCAACCCTGCTTTAAAAAAAATAAAATAAAACTTAAACTCAAAAAACAGGCCTAGACAAAAAAAAATGATGGTACTTAATTTAATATGCTGTTGCATACTGTTACTATTACTCTAGCTGTTAGTCAGCCTTCTGCTCCTCTCAGCAGGTATTCTGGACCACTGCTCATGAGCAAACTGCTCCAGTAGTCTCAGGTTTGAAGGCTGCCTTTATCAGTCGTGATGGTTCAGCTCCTTCCAAAGATACTAAATAGGATTTAGGTCAGGGCTCATCAAAGGCCACTTCAGAATAGTCCAGTGTTTCCTCTTAATGCCTGAAGACACCAGTTGCGTACGACTTTTTAATCTCCGATCTGATTTTTTTTGCATGAGTCTGTGCCGCTTGCTATATATATATATATATATATGCTCTGTGCAACTGTAAAACAGACTGTTTCCCTGTGCAATTTACATATCTTATTTTGTATCTTCCCCAAAAGCGGAAGTTTTTTCTCTGTAACTGTGCCTCTCTTTCTGCCGCCGAATGGCTGCGTAGTCCCCTTGCATAAAATCATGTCAGATAATCACCCCCATTGACTTTCAATGAGCGCTAAACACCATGCCGCCACAACCTCGTCCGACAGATTGGAGGCAAAATTGGATTCAGTGTTTTCTTGGCTTTAGCCAGTCCTGTGTGTTTTCAGTCAATCCAGGAGGAGGTTGGCTACAGTCCCATGGATCAACTGTAGTCACAGGAGCATCATGTTGCTTATAGCCATTATATTCATGAGATAATTTTTTAATCATTCTGTTGAAGCAATGCTTGACTTCAACTTAATTTTCATAGACTTTTTACGTATTACTTGTCAGATTAAGTTTATCATTCTAGTTTTTTTTTTCATTAAATGAAGGATACCAATAATTTTGCCAACATGTATAAATTCGGTCCTTGTTTTTTTCTAAATGCATGCTGAATCCAGAAAGGACCAACATGTATAACAACATGCAAATCAATAAGCATTATGCTAATTAAATCCTCTCACAAGCTGGAGGCACAAAACTCTAATGAAGCTTTACTGCACACTTGCTCTTTTAATTGACTGTTTGCCTTTAAGTGGAGTAGATAAATCTCTGTCAACAGTGATTTGATCTGTCAGACATCTAAACTGATTATTCAAAGTACCTAATGAGAGGATGGATGGATGGATGGATGGATGGATGGATGGATGGATGGATGGATGGATGGATGGATGGATGGATGGATGGATGGATGGATGGATGGATGGATGGATGGATGGATGGATTTCTGACAGTTTATCAAATGCTTCAAAAGAAAAACAAAAAAAGCCTTTTTTATAATTCTTTAAGAACTTGGGGTAAAAACTGCAAAATATATTATAAAAAAGTCAATCAATCAATCAATCAATAGGTAAAAGTGATGATTAGTACTGATTACTGGGAGAAATGCTCCTACCAAAAGCCAGAATAAATGAACTGTGTGTCTAATGATTGAAGGCTGTTCCTCTCAGCTAGTTTACACTTAAACACCTGTGGTAGGACTTGTCTCTCAGGCAGTTTTAATAATCATGAAAGAAAAAGGATGTGCTGGTTTCAAGAAATAGAAACTGCTAAGATTAATACCCGTAAAGCTGTAACATGATATGTGTCTACTCTGCCATGTCTAATTTTGCACATAAACTATCACGTTGGATCAAGTTGCACTAAACATTAAAGCATTTTTTTTCCTATGGTTTAATTTCCAAAACCTTCTCCAACATGTTTAGTAGTTTTCTCTTAAACTTGTTGGTACTTTGATAAAAGTATAATGTGTTGTTCCTTCCTCTGGCTTTTTCATGCTACAGCCCATCTATGTCCAATTGTCGTGACCCCTTCAAATAAAAGACTTCCGGCACGCTGGCTGCTTGTATAGTAGAGGCTTTGTTTGTCACCCGTGTCGTTTGCACTGTACCCTCGGTTAATCCCTATTGTCCAGTCAAGCCTCATTAATCTGGAGAATTGATATGAATGAAGGCGGATCGAGGCTTCCTCTTCTCCCTCCCGTGGATGTCTGTCTTTCTCCCCCCGGAAAGGAAGTGACCCGCTTGTCAGAACAGGAATCAGGCCACGGCTATGCTGTGGGACAACCCAAATTTTGTTCATATCCTCTACAAATGCTCATAAATGTAGAACTGACTGTACAGGGTTCACTTGTTATTACCTTGGTCAATAATGACCTCAGCCCCCAAGGAGATAACTGTCTCCAATATTACTGGTATTTTAGTCCTTTAGGGAAAGCAGTATTCTGATAAGAAATCATCTCTGCACTCCTGAGCAAAAGCCCTGTGCATGTAGAGACGGTAAAGAATACTCTTAACAAATTATCAAATTTGGTTAGAAAACGAAACATTTAATTCAAGAACATTATTATTTTAAAAGATGTTTAAATCTGTCAAAGACTATTAAATTTACTCAATAAATTAATGCACCTCTCTCCGAGCACCCCGCCCCTACTTCCTACAGCGCTCTACACCTCCCCTTTCCTATTTCTATGCAAGTCTGTTCACTGCCCACTATAAATACATCTAACCTGACAATATCCTCTCCACTTCCACTCAGACAACATTAGTACTTCCTAATTTCTCCTATTTTCCTTTTTTCTATATCACAGACATTCTTACTAATAATGACTTCCCCTTTGGCTACTTTGCTCATTCTCCTTTTGCTTGTTTGGCCAAGCAAACCAGCGACACCTGGCAGAGGCCGGACACAGCTGGGCGGATATATGCGGACAGAGGACATAGTTCAATCTGTACTTGAGGAAAAGGGCAGAGACCTGACAGGTATGGACAGCAGGAGAGATGGTGGATTTGGAGACTCTCGTTCCTCGAAACAAGGACTACCAGAAGCAGAAGATGGAGACACATGGGGAGAGCCTGGTACTCCATCTTACTTCAGATCCCCATATCTAACAAGCGACAGCAAACTGTGGGAACCCCGCATCTCTTCTCGATGTGTGCCAGTGCCCTCCAACATGGCTCTGTGCCACAACATTGGTTATGACACCATGCGGATCCCAAACCTGCTGGGCCATGATTCTCCAGCTGAGGCTGTCCAGCAGAGCGCCAGCTGGTTACCACTGCTTGCCAGAGAGTGCCATCCTGACGCCCGCATCTTCCTTTGCTCTCTCTTTGCACCAATATGCCTAGACAGGTACATATGCTTACTCAAACTCACTGAAAAGAATAAGTTTAACAATCTTTTTTCCTATTAATTATAAGTATTGTTAAAAATGCACAAAAGAATAAGAGTTTTTAGGAGGAAGAGGGTCGAAAAAGACCATATTTTGTCTCTAATTGACAACATGGGTCCAGAGTCATCAAAAGACGACACCAGTTAGACCAGGGGTGTCAAACCGGTTCCAGAAAGGGCCGTGTGGCTGCAGGTTTTCTTTCCAACAAAGCAATGGCACACCAGACTCCAGTTATCTTATCAAGTCATCATGTTAAGACTGGACTCACTTGATGAGGTGACTGGAGTCTGGTGTGCTATTGCTTGGTTGGAAAGAAAACCTGCAGCCACACAGCCCTTTCTGGAACCAGTTTGACATCCCTGAGTTAGACACTAAGCACTAGGGTTGTCACGATACTAAACTTTTCAACTCGATACCGATACTAAGGAAAATATTCGATACTCGATACCATTTTCGATACCACAAGGATAAAAACAAAGACTCCAAAATTCAACAGAAATATTTTCATTAATAAATAAAATACAATAAATAAACACAATAAAGGTTGTATGCTGTGCATAATATTATGCAAGCTTGATAAAAAACTTATAAAATTCAAATTAAGTGTTCCTTCCTTGGCTATTCTTTGCACACATAACAATGACACTAGCCAAACCAGTTAAGAAACAAAAATAATTCTAAGCAGCTGCACCTCTTACAAAAAAAAAGTCTGAAACTGAAAAGAGCACAGAATTGTTCAATCACACAGTGTTCTGAAAGTGCATTGTCCTCTATTCTGCACTTAGATGAATGACTGCTTAGGTGCCAGTGGTGACGGCACTGTATCGATACTTTTAAAAACGAGTATTGTATCCGGATACAACATTTCAGCATCGATACTTTGGGGGGGGGGGTCAGGGGTGTCAAGAGGTCTCTACCCTTAAATCAGTTTAAAACTCGTCATTTAATCACTGCTGTCCAATTTCCTTTCCATGCTGTTTTTCACAGGTTTATCTCCCCGTGCATGAGTTTGTGTGAATCTGTACGGGAAAGCTGTGCTCCCATCATGAGTTGCTATGGTTACCCCTGGCCGGAAATTCTGAGGTGTGACCAGTATCCCGCAGATCACCTGGTGTGCATCTCCTCCATCACCAACGCAAGCGTTTACACGGGAGCACGTGGAGGTGAGTAACCGCACACGTATGAGTGGGTCAAGTCTATTAAACCAATTATCCGATTTTAACTATTTCAGTGCCTCAGGCAAGCTGTCGGGACTGTGAGCTAGAGGAGCCTTCGTCCCCTAAAGACACACTGGAGACTTTTTGCAGGAGTGATTTTGGTGAGTCCAGACATGTTTACTCTTTTGGAAGCATTCTATGTTTTTTATTGTTTATGATTATCGAGCAGAAGGATATTTATCAATAAACAGAAGTCAACAAAACTTTTTTTTTCTCTCTCTAAAATCTTCCAAGTTGTGAAGCTGCGTCTGACCAGACTCAAGTACAGTCCATTAAGTCTTTCTCAGTTCTCCCTGGCTTCTAAGTTGGACGTCTTAAAGCCTGGGCCCCTGTCAGGGGGGCAGATACGCTCAGGGATTGAGTTGTGGCTGGAGAGAGATGCTACGTGCGTACAGAACATGACCCGACAACATCCACGAGGCGGCACCTTCCTGGTGACAGGGACAGTCCAAGGGGAACGCCTGGTGGTCAACAAGGCTTACGTTTGGCAAAGACGAGACAGAAACCTCACTGCAGCTTTACGCAAATGGAAAACTCACAGATGCAGGAACTAACATCTTGGAAAATTCTAACTGAAATGTGAGATCAACTATGGTTTTGGGAAAGAGTTTAGAAGCTTCCTATAAAGCAACAGCTGTAAATATTTGTTGGACTTTCTGAAAAGAATTCAAAGCAGTTTAGTCCTGAAACATACTGATAGCATGATTGAGAAACTTTCACTATAGAAGTAGAGACTAGGAAATAAAATGTACATAATGATTTTTATACTTTAACTTAATATTGTTGGTCTATGAGTTTCTGATATATTAATTACTGAGCTTTTCTTTTTTTCTTTCAATCCAAATTTGCTTCCTGTATTTTCTCTTTTCAAAAAATAAAAAAACATGAACATAATTCCATATTTTTTCATATTTCAGTATCTGTCAGCATCTGTTTTTTTTGGGATACATTTCGTTAAATAAAGTAAAATAAATACTAAAAGCAGCATGGTTCCTGTCATTTTAACTTGATTGATCATTTATCAAATAAATGAAAAAGTAAATCTGCTTCTGGAAACATCTCTCATTAGTTTAAATTCGGAAGAAAAACTGATAGATTTGAAATATAATGTTCACCTTTACTTTATTCAAAAAAATAATAGCAGCTATGTTTATTTAATACATGGAAGCTGATCATTCATATTAAGCTAAAGTTTAAATGTAGGGCTCTGACTGAAAAAGAACAACTTGTCTCCAAAAGTTGTATTGTTTCCTGTAGAACTTATAAGATCCAAAGAAAAGAAATCCGCTAATAACTCGAATTAAGGCTGTATGTGTAAAACAGCCCTTGCCTTATTTCTCTCTTATCAAGTTTTGAAGCTTTCTGTCAAAGTGCTTGTGTTACAGCAACTTTTTTTCAACTTTTTTTTTTTTTTTTACAGATAGCTACACATCTTATAGAACTTAGTGTTACATAAAATGCAAGATCTCATTCAGGTGTTGGAATTTACTTACCAAACAGCAAAGGTTTCAGACTCAGTGTTTTCATCTCATGTGTTCTGTCTGCTACAATAGACACCTGCTGAACATGTCCAACCTAAAGGGACACAGGAAACAATTTAAAAGCTGAAACAGTGATCCACAGCATGCTTTTTTTCATAATTTTATTTATGCTATTGCACCATTTATGATGCATCTTTATTTCCATATATTTTTTCCAAATGCTTTGATCCCAATATCCCTAGAGTGAGACTGTAATATGCAATTTTAAATGTATGATCAGTGTTGGTAGTGATTCAAATCGAATTTAAAGGTCATAATAAATGGTCTTTTACCCTTATCCCCTCCAAACGATGCAGGCTGAAACTCTGACTGTAGTCTTCTCCATCCAAGTCACCCACCGATGGAGCAGGTGGAGGCAAAGTATCATCAGCATGGATGACTGAAGCAGGGGAAGCCCCATCTCCCATCACTAAATCCGCAGGGCCGTTGTTGTAGTGCACGTAGAGCAGTAGGGCAATAATATTCAGGATGTAAACATGGAAGAATACCATAACCACGACGAAATAAGCACGAGAGCACACATTGCTTTTCTGGATTTGCAGCCGAGTAGAGCGAGAAGGAGCCTTGCAAGGAGGCGAGAATGGTTTCTCGCTCATGTCGGTTTCTTCGTGCTCAAGTAAATCTTCGTAAGCGTCATTCATAGTTAACAACAGGGAGTTAGATATTGTTTCTACGGAAATATGAACAGGTTAACGTGACAACACAAACCAGGCAGTCTTGATGTTGGAAGACGTTAGCTATCCTCTGACATTAGCATACCTGTGTTGCTTAGCTACAGAGCTAGCCCCGCTGCAAACATCTGTTCTGTTTGAGAAAAGACGAGAACGAAGCAGGACACCATCCAGTGAGTGGAAAAAAATGCAACGACGGTCCCTTTTTGTTAAAATAAATACATATTTCGTGACTTGTCATAACATAAAAGCTGCTAATCCTGTGCTAGCACTGATAGATGCGCTGCCCCTGACAACGAGCCTAGCAACAAGATAGGGCAGCAATATCCGTTGCCCAGCAGCTGTCGTAAACGCTTAGCGCCCCCTACCTGTCATTCCAGACATTTTGACCTGCAATCTTGAAATGTTACAATACATTCTTAAAATGTATCATTTAAATGGTTGTGGACAATATTCAAAGAGAGGAAAGGAAAACAAAATAAGTTGTGAATATCTATCTATCCATTTATTAGTCTATCTGTATCTATATATGTTGGTAGTACAAGTTAAACTAACTTGAGTAACCTTTTGACAAAGTATACTTTTATAAGTAATTCTGCTGCACCATAATATCTTTAGAGAATACTGTTACTCTTACTTCTACTCCATTTATTTTGAGTGACTTCCCTGAGCAACAAATGATCTTTTTTTTTAAGTGCTCCAGACAAAGACACACAGACAATGTTTATGTTAAAATTAGATATATTTTTGGTATACAAGCCTACTTGAACCTACAATGATATTTAGAGATTAGGTTAATATTTTTGTAAGGAGGAAGTATTGTTACTTGAGGCACCTGTTTCATAAGTGTTATATCTAAAAATAAAATTGGTTTGGAGAAGTGTTTTATCTGCCTTAAAATATAATTTTTTTTAGATACATTCTTTTTTCTATTATAGTCTTTAAAATACCAGAATTTGCATGTAACCTTAAATTTTTTTCTGACTTAATTACATCATTTAAATATCAGATGATATCATATGTACCAAATACTTATACTCTTTAGTGAAAATATAAAATATTGCTATTCTTACTTGAGTATTTTCAATATATATAAAGAAAAACATCTATAGAGAGAGACAGAGATATATACAGTATATAAATATTTGATATAGGACAATGCAATATACAAGAGTTTTCGTAGTTGTCCACACGGTGGCGACATAAACACACATTTCATACTTTTCCAACTGTGCCATGTCATTTTGAGTCTTGACGTAATTTCTTAAGTCCGCCAATTATTTCTTTGACAAAAAACAGCAATTAGGAAATGTTGCCTTCGCGTGTTTGCAAAACAAACAAACAAAAAAAAGTAAATAAATAAATAAAACTAAAGGAATTTTCTTGTTAAGTTGTTCTGGAAAAAAACCCTTGTTGTGTTATTTACACATGTGCACAACAATAAAACCAGATTAAATTAAATAAACTAAAATATATGGTTTAAAAACACTATGAGTTGGCTTTTGTTGGGTTTTAAGCTACTAAGTATGTCTTCCTCATGACAGAAAACCAGTTGTAGAGAACTTAACTTCCTTACTCTCCATTTAGTTGCATAATTAAATAAAGATTGAGTTTAATTAAGTAAGTGTGCCTCTCACATTATTCCATCTGACCCTACTTTATATTTAAATAGAGAGGGTCTGCTAGGTGGGGGAGGATGTTACAGACTCTCCCTTAAACACACACACACCCACGCACACGCACACCCCTTGCGGTGTTTTCCGGGATCACGCTTCTGCCTCCACTCGGGATCCACGCAGCAGCAGCAGCAGCGATATGGCTGATCATCACCGGACGGGACGAAGCTGCGTTTGAACGAAACTTTGGCCTGATTGTGTTTTAACATTGATCCATAATGCGCTCTGTCGGGGGACAGGACGCCAATAAACATCGGTTAACGCTGGGATAGAAAATCCCGGACGGGTTTAGCGAGCAGTTTGCTGGTTTGATTTGCATTTTTACAGCAAACTATTTGGAGGAACTTGTCGCAGTGGCTTTCAGTCCCAGCGTGCTGCCGGGATTAGCACACAGAGGCGGAACAATAGTCTCCTGCGGCAGGAACACAAGCAGGTCGGTGTGGTTTGTTTATATTTGGCTCACTGCCTGTTTTCAAACTCTAATAGGTACTGAAACCATTGCTGTGCTCCTCACCTCACTGACATTGCAGGTGTATGCTCATTATTACTCTTGCTGATTTTGATTTGTTGTAACGCAGTTTAATGGGGAGTTTCTGCGTGTTTAAATGATGGGAATATTTAAGCGCTTTTCCTCAAATCCCAACAGAATCGCGTTAAATCAGTCGCTCCATTCAGAGGTTTCGATAGTCGCAGATACTGTGACTACAGCAGTCAAAGTCCCTGGAGATTTCTCATACTTTCCCCCCTCATTTTTTTTTTCTTAAATGCTGTAATTTTCAATGAAAGGTCTTTTCCCCAGGGGTTTCCCTGCTTCCTGCTCGGCAGTGGAACTTTTCCTCTGCCCTGACTGATCCTCCTCCTCCCGGATACTTGCGTCAGGAAAACACGGGGAGATACGAACTGACCGAAAGCGAAAAAATGCCTGGAAGGTGGAGGAATCTCCACCAGCCCATGGCTGAGGTGAAAACATGAAACGCTGCGGTTTTTTTTTTTTTTTTTTTCCTTTGGCTCCTAATTATCCGCGCTTCCTCCGGTCATGTCATGTTAGATCTGCGGGACGTGCGCCTGCGGATGTGACGGGCTGTTCAGTGCTGCAGTCCTGCGGTTCCTTCACTAACGTCCATATTAGGCCCATATATACATCCAAGCAGAGGCGCAGCCAGAACATTTTAATAAGGGTGGCCAAGCAATCAATGGCCTAACTATCAAGCAGAGACTGCAGTTGCTTAGGGGCCCCCGACCTCTTAGGGTCCCCGTCACAGACACCTGGTGGGTCCCTTACACAAATGTGAACTATGTAATGGTTCCTCTTTTACTCACCTGATGTTAAAATGACTGACCGGACCTTATTTATACCTTCTTCTTACAGAGATGTATAATTTTCTCTTTACCCCATAAAACACAAAATCTAGTTCTGAAAAGAGGATGAATTCAGTACGTATCATTCTTAATGTTAGTATATTGATGTGCATAATTAACCACAGTGTTTTGTATTGTCAAGTAATTGTTAATATATAAAAAAATGAAATGTTTTGCCTCTGCATTAGAGGGAAAAAAATGGGAGGGGAGGCCAATGATTGGCTAAAGGTGGCGATGGCCACCCCTGGCCCCCCATCTAGCTCTGCCTCACATCCAATAAGCCATAGTGGTGTTATTATACACGTTGCATTCATTAGACCATAATATATATATATATATATATATATATATATATATATATATATATTTATATATATATACACTATATTGCCAAAAGTATTTGCTCACCCATCCAAATTATTGGAATCAGGTGTTCCAATCACTTCCATGGCCACAGGTGTATAAATTCAAGCACCTAGGCATGCAGACTGTTTTTACAAACATTTGTGAAAGAATGGGTCGCTCTCAGGAGCTCAGTGAATTCCAGCGTGGAACTGTGATAGGATGCCACCTGTGCAACAAATCCAGTCGTGAAATTTCCTCGTCCTAAATATTCCACAGTCAACTGTCAGCTGTATTATAAGAAAATGGAAGTGTTTGGGAACGACAGCAACTCAGCCACGAAGTGGTAGGCCACGTAAACTGACGGAGCGGGGTCAGCGGATGCTGACGCGCATAGTGCGAAGAGGTCGCCAACTTTCTGCAGAGTCAATCACTACAGACCTCCAAACTTCATGTGGCCTTCAGATTAGCTCAAGAACAGTGCGCAGAGAGCTTCATGGAATGGGTTTCCATGGTCGAGCAGCTGCATCCAAGCCATACATCACCAAGTGCAATGCAAAGCGTCGGATGCGGTGGTGTAAAGCACGCCGCCACTGGACTCTAGAGCAGTGGAGACGCGTTCTCTGGAGTGACGAATCGCGCTTCTCCATCTGGCAATCTGATGGACGGGTCTGGGTTTGGCGGTTGCCAGGAGAACGGTACTTGTCTGACTGCATTGTGCCAAGTGTAAAGTTTGGTGGAGGGGGGGATTATGGTGTGGGGTTGTTTTTCAGGAGCTGGGCTTGGCCCCTTAGGGCTTGGCCCCTTAGTTCCAGTGAAAGGAACTCTGAATGCTTCAGCATACCAAGACATTTTGGACAATTCCATGCTCCCAACTTTGTGGGAACAGTTTGGAGCTGGCCCCTTCCTCTTCCAACATGACTGTGCACCAGTGCACAAAGCAAGGTCCATAAAGACATGGATGACAGAGTCTGGTGTGGATGAACTTGACTGGCCTGCACAGAGTCCTGACCTCAACCCGATAGAACACCTTTGGGATGAATTAGAGCGGAGACTGAGAGCCAACACATCTCGTCCAACATCAGTGTGCGACCTCACAAATGCGCTTCTGGAAGAATGGTCAAAAATTCCCATAAACACACTCCTAAACCTTGTGGACAGCCTTCCCAGAAGAGTTGAAGCTGTTCTAGCTGCAAAGGGTGGACCGACGTCATATTGAACCCTATGGATTAGGAACGGGATGTCACTTAAGCTCATATGTGAGTCAAGGCAGGTGAGCAAATACTTTTGGCAATATAGTGTATATATGAGTGCGTTATTTATATTGGTGCTTCTTTTGGCTCCACACAATTATTTGACTACAATTTAACTAGTTTAATCATTAAGTTAACTTAAATATTTAGAGCTGGTTTAACTATAGACTTAAAGGTATGTTTTATCAACATATTAAAACCCTGCAATAACAAAGAAATAAAAGCATCTGGTTTGTCATTAAGGCACTCAGTAATGAAAGAAGACGTCACACATTTGACCTAAAACTCCCAAGATTCATTGACAAGGAATTCTTCAGGGTCAGGAAGTTTCACAGTGCTGACTCTACACTAGCTCAGGTTAATTAAACATTAGGATTCAGGCCATAGTACAGAAACTCTTTATTACATGTCTGAATGCGGTTTTTAATTTTCTTGAGTTTGTAGTTACATTCACAAAAAAAATGGTTAAAAGTCTCATGTTTCCTTTTTTGTCAGCAAGATGATTTGTTACTAACATAAACAAGCTAATGCTATTAGAAATAAGTAATTAAAAATTATATATATAAACAACAAAACAATGGTCAATATTTGAGTTAAAGTAATGTACATTTCTTCTTAAAGGTTTCTATTTATATTTTCCATGTCCAATAGTTTTGTTGACATTTGATTTGTAAAGATAGAAAGAAAAAATAGATTT